AAAGCAAATTCAAACGACATTAACATTTCATCTAACCACAGTCAGAATGGCAGTCATCAAGAAAACAAAATCTACAGATCCTGGCAAGTATGTTGGGTTGGGAATAGGTAGAACTCTTGACACATGGTTGATGAGAATGCCAATTATTCCGGCCATCGTGGAAAACTAAAACTATAACTACTACATGATCCAGCGATCCCATTCCTGAGTACCCATCCAAAGGAATCTAAGTCAATGTACCACAGTGATACCTGCACATCCATGCTTTTCTCTGTGCTGTTCACAGTGATCAAGACATGAAACCAGTCTACATATCTCTGGATAGATGAAGAAAACTAAGTGTGTACACACACACACACACACACACACACACACACACACACACTGGAGGTTTTTTTTTTTTCAGCCATAAAGAAGGAAAACATGATGCAGGAAAACGGACGGAACTGGAGATAATGTAAAATGAAATAAACAAGGGTCATAAACACAGATATTACCTGTTTTCTCTCATGTGTGGACTCTATCATAAAAAAGGTGATATGAAAGTAGAAAGGGAGCTGTCAGAGAAAAGAGAGGATAGAGAAGAGGACGGAGGATTAAAAAAATCTGACAGGTGGGTGGATACAATCAGATTACTAGACGTGTGTGAAAATATGACAACGAAGCCTTATTCCACATAAGTAATATGTGCTATAAAAAAGTTTAAAGAATAAAAAAGTAGAGGACTGGAGAAATGGCTCAGTGGTTAGGAACACTTGCTGTAGTTCCAGAGGACCCAGGTTCAATTCCAGCACCCACATGGTGGCTAATAACCATCCATAACTCCAGTTCCAGGGGATCTGACACTTTCTTCTGACCTCCATGGGCAATGCACAACACTGGTGCACTTACCTACATGCAGGCTCAACACTCATACACATAAAATAAAAATGATAAAATGTTTTTAAATTTTTTTAAATAAAAAAGTAGATTATATGAAAAGTAAATAAAAGGAAGGACACAGAGTTAGAATGGAAAATGAAACAAAATGTAGACAAAGAATAGTGACAATTTTTAAAAACATAACTTGTTTCTTGCAGTGTATACTAACACTGAGATGGCTATAGCTAGAGTGACCAAAGAGAAAATATAATCACTAGTGTCAAGAATGGAAGGATGGACAGCACCATACAGCCCACAAATACTAAGAACAATAACAAAACAGTTTAAAGAACTTTATGGCAAAATCCACAACTTATATGAAATAGAAAAGTTCCTCAAGAATATTGTTCTTCACCTCTAGGTTTTTGCTGGTTCTTTTTCACATTTTTATTTTACTTGAGTGTCTGTGTATCTGAGTCTTTGTGTACATGCCTTATACTTTTTTGTTGTTATCGTCATGTTTTCCTTTAAATCCTCAAGTATGTTTTAACTGTTTCAAGTTCACATCTGGATACTAACACAAAACCTGAAGACTCACCTGAAGCCAGACAGATGAAGGTACCTGCTCTTGGACTTTTAATCTCCAAAACAATGAGATAAATAAATCTCCTTTGTTTATTTAAAAGACAAAAGAGAAAGCTGGGTCTGGAAAGATGGCTCACAGCTAAGAGTGTATACGGCTTTTGCAGATGACCTGAGTTCAGTTCCCAGCACCCAAGTTGGGTGGCTCACAACTGTGCATAACTCCAGCTCCTGCCCTCTTCTGGTCTCTGCAGGCACTGCACTAAATGCACAAACCTACACTCATTTACACTCACATATACACATAATTTTTTTAGTTAAAAAAAAATCTCCTTAAAAATGTATTGTCTGAATTCTCTCACGGCTGTGTTTTCTAAGTGTTTTTCTATTGGTTGATTTTCCTCCTGCTTCTGTGTCACACTTTGATGCTTCTTTGCATCCTTGATGACATTTTCCTTTGATACAGGTCTGTTGCATTGCTGCATGTTTAGATTTTGTTACCTTCCTTTCACGTGTTGGAAGCTTATTTCAGAATGCAGTTAAGATACCCACAGATCAGCTGGAGCCTCTGAGGCTGGCTCCATTCCAGAGTAACCTTTAATGTGGTCCTTTTAGCTCCACGTCCAAGTAAATGCCCGTGTGCTCAGTGATCTCTTCACTCTGCTTGCCAGAAACGTGCATGATTCCTGGCCTCATGAGCTCTGGGAACGTTTCGGTTTTTAAGTCTCTCTTATATTCTTTTCCCAGCCTCATGGATTTCCATTTCAGTCTACCCACATGCAGATTAGTCTTTTGCTGCAGTCAAAGACACTGCAATGCAGATCTCTGGATGGTTTCTCTGTAAAGTCCCATCCTTTTAGAAACTCAGCTCCTCGAATCCCAGGCATATTGGCCTCCTCGTATTTCTGTTTCCTCAACTCAGTGCTCTGGCTCCTGTGTGTCTTATATCCCAGCCTAGAAGTGGCACCTGGCAGAATGCTGGGTCACTTTCTGCTCACCTCGTTTTCCTTCCTTCAGGGATTCCAGTCCTGCATCAAATCGTTGTCCAAGATTTGCAAAAAGTTGTTTCATAGATTTTTTCAAGATTTTTAGCTGTTTATAGAAGAAGGGTAAGTCTTGCTTGGGTTACTCTCTTTCCAAGGCAGATGTTTACTCTTATAAATCTAAAAGTATAGAACTTGGGGCTGGAGAGATGGCTCAGCAGTTAAGAACATTGGTTGTTTTTGAAGACCCGGGTTCAAATCTCAGCACCCACATGGGAGCTAACAACTGTCCATAGCTCCAGTCCCAAGGGATCTGACAGCCTCTTCTGACCTCCATGAGCATTGCATGACACGGGTGCACTTACCTACATACAGGCAATACATGCATACACATAAAATAAAGCTGGGCGTGGTGGTGCACGCCTTTGTTCCTAGCACTCGGGAGGCAGAGGCAGGTGGATCCCCATGAGTTCAAGGCGAGCCTGGTCTATATAGTGAGTTCCAGGACAGCTGGGGCTACAGGGAGACCCTGTCTCAAAAAGACCAAAAAAATAATAAAATTTTTTTAAAGTATATAACTTGGTTCCCATTCAACATTTATTGACTGTCACAATCTGGAACTGTGGGACTGCTAGCCTTTGCAAAATCTCTAAGAGGCTATTGAAAAGAAATGAGTGTGAGGTAGGAATGGCGGTGCACACCCTTAATCCCAGCCCTCGGGAGGCATAGGCAGGTGGATCTCTGTGAGTTCGAGGCCAGCCTGGTCTACATAGTGAGTACCAGCCAGTTGTGGCTACAGGGAGATGCTGTCGAAAGGAAGGAAGGAAGGAAGGAAGGAAGGAAGGAAGGAAGGAAGGAAGGAAGGAAGGAAGGAAGGAGGAAGGAAGGGAGAAAGAGGGAGGGAGGGAAGGAGGGAGGGGAAGGAAGAAAAGAAAGAAAGGAATAAAAAAAGAACGAGTGTAGTCACACTTTCGGGAAGTTGACTAAATGAGCAATAAGATACAATTTTTACAATTTTAGGATTTTTCAATAAATCTGAACTCAGACTATGATTGCCTCTGACATTGGATTTAAATATTAAAACATAATTTGTGTGCATAAATATATGCATGTGTGTTGTTAATGTGTGTGTGCTTGTGTGTGGGTATGCAGAATGTGTGCAGGTGTGTGCATATATTTGTACATGCATGTAGAGGCTGGAGATTGATGTTGGGTGTCTTCTATCATTCTTCATCTTATTTTTTTTTTCAAGACAGGGTCTTCCTGTAGTCCTAGCTGGTCTGGTACTCACTACGTAGACCAAGCTGGTCTTGATCTCACTTGATCTGCCTGCTTCTGTCTCCCAAGTGCTGGGATTAAAGGCATGCATCACAGGCTGGAGAGATGACTCAGTGGTTAAGAGCACTGGCTGCTCTTGCAGAGGACCCAAGTGTGATACCCAGCACCCACATGGCAGCTAACAACTGCTCATAACTCCAGTTCCAGGGGATCTGACGCCCCCTTCTGTCCTCACTGGCATTGCATAACATGGGTGTACTTACATACATACAAACAATACACTCATACACATAAAATAGAAATAAATCAAAAAATAAACTTTAACTCCAGTTCTAGGGGATCCAACACCTTCTTCTGGCATCCATGGGCATTGGACGCATGATGCATTTACAAACATGCAACTCAAAACATTCATACACATGAAATAAAAATAAATATTCTAAAATATGCAGAAAATTATTCCTTGTCCTTTCTTGTTATTATGTGAGCCTTTGATACTGAACATACTGATGTGGGGTTTTGGGACCCTTGTGATCACCACTCATATTGTCCTCAGTTAAATTTATTGCTTGAACTATATCTGAATAATTTGTCTCTTGAATAAAATATTCAAAGTGTAAGGAGGGAAATTGAGATAGTTTTGTAGAGTTTTTTTAAAGTATTTAAAAAAAATTACATGTGTGTATGTATGTGTGTGGTGTATGCATATGTACTCACCCATGTGTGAGCATGTAGAGGCCAGAGGTTGACATCAGGCACCTTCTGCTCTACACCTTATTTTTTGAGAGAGCTTCTCTCACTGAACCTGGATTTCACTGTTTCAGCTAGGATGGTTGTCCAGCAAGCCCCTGGGATCCACCTGTCTCTGCTGTCTGCGCTGAGGATGCAGATGCAGAGGGTGTGGATACTGTCTATCCAAGCTCAGATCCTCATGCTTGCAAAGCAAGCACCTCACTTAGTGAACCATGTCCCTAGCCGAAGGGTACACTTTTAACACCGATTGATTGATCGATTGTGTTTGTGTGTGCACATGCATGTACACTCACACGTGTGTACACATACATGCCACTGTGTGTGTGGAGGTAAGAGGACAACTTGCAGGAGTTAATTACCTCTGTCCAGATTCTGGGGATTAAATTCAAATCATCAGTCTTTGCAGCAAATGCCTTTACTCCCTGAGGCATCTCACTGGCCCATAAGGCACAATTTTGAGTAGTTATTAAATTTAGAGGCACAATTTTAATATAAATAGTCTCACTCCCTCAAAATCTGACATTTAATGACACTTTCTGAGAAGACAGTTATACTCATTTTATTTCTTGCTTCAGTTACAACACAGAATTTAAAAGATAATTGTTGTTAGCGCAAGTCCGAATGAAGACAAATGATCATCAGCCCACCATAGTTGGGGCTCGTGAGATCTGTGTGGTTGTCCAGGCTGATTGGTGCTTAATGCCTGTGGAATGTGCAGACATCCAGCAGCTCTGTGAAGTATAAGACAAAGAAAGACCATCAGATGCTGTCAGTGTTCAGGATGCTCTGCTCCCCTCTGATTTTATATTTTCTTATAAGTAAACTTCCTAAAAGTGTTTTTATGACTTACCCTTTCTAAAATTGAGACATAATCGAGATGTTTAAAAACATACACAGACACATTCTCTGTTCTGACATGTCTATCCTTAAATATCTGCCCAGCCCTTTTCTCCTGTTCTCTATATCTCTGTACACAACACAACAGAAATTCAGGTATACTCCCGGTAATTTAATAATTCAGCCCTAACTTCATTTCTCTAATTATTTCTGTTTGAGGCAGCTATGCCATCTAAAATATGTATACTAGCTGGTATGGTGGCACATGCCTTTAATCCCAGCACTCGGGAGGCAGAGGCAGGTGGATCTCTGTGAGATCAAGGCCAGCCTGGTGTGCATAGTGAGTTCCAGACCAGCTGGGGCTACAGGGAGACTCTGTCTCAAAAAGAGCAAAATTAATCAATTAATTAATTATACTTAGTCTACTATAGTACTACCTCTGCTTTGTTGTCAGTGTTTATGCATTTACATAAAATCATGCAAACTGAATGGTATATATGTCATTTCCCAAGCCCTTCATCTACACTGAAGTTCACTTGATTATCAGAAAATGGAAATATGTAAGAATTTCAGTTCCCAAGAGGTCGCAAATTCTACCTCGCTTCTTGTCTCCTTCAGTTGATTTAACTTTTTTCAGATTGTGTATTTTTCACTGTTGTCTGATTGAGCTGACTCACCAGTCACTCACCACTCCGAGTATCTATTTTCCTGTGGCCTTGTCAGTACCAGCCCAGGGCTTGGTGCACATGAATTCTTAATATAAACATATTAATCTTGATCCCTGCATTATTTCTCCTTGGTGTTCAGGTCTACTTACCAGAGGATAAGCACTGTCTAAAGCTAGCCATCACTGTAAGATACTGTGGCCCAAGGTATTTTTCATACGTTGTTTTATTCTGAAGGTTAGACAAACATTCTGTGTCATCACTGAACAGCAGGTCCTTGGTTGAGGATTCAAACAACTGGAACATCATATATTCAAACCCATTTCTTCCAAAGAGCTCCTGGGTTAGACAAACAGACAGTTAGTAGTCATGGGCTCCAGGAATCACACAGTTGTATACTCTGCCTTAGAAGACCTGAGGCTACTGAACTGCTCAGTTCCAGCCCCCGAGGAACCTGAGACACAGCACTGTAGTGATAGGAAGCATGGTCTATGGGTTAAAATGCTGGCCCTGTCTTTTCTTTATTATGTGACTTCAGGAAAATCTCTGCTAAACTCAGTGAACCTCAGTTCACTCATTTGTACATGGAGACAACATCAGGTAATGAGATTATATATGTAAAGTAACAAGTAAATAGAAAGAGCTCTAAATTGGCCTTATATTGCTATTTGGACAATGTCCTAGGTAGCTTCAACTGTTAACCTGACACAGTCCAGAGTTATCTGAGGGAGTCTCAATTGAGGTATTGTCGAGACCAGATTGGCCTGTGGCCCTCTCTGAGAGATTGTCTTGATGACTGATGTTGGAAGGCCAGCAGCATCCCTAGGCAGTGGGCCTGGGCTATATAAGAAAGCTAGCTGAGCAACCACAGAGTGAGCCAGGAGCAGAGTGCCTCCATGGTTTCTGCTTCAGTCCCCACCTCAGCTCCTTTCCCGACTTCCTCAGTGATAGACAGTCGCCTGGAAGCATACTGAAGTAGACTCTTATTGCTCCCCAAGTTGCTTTTGGTGATGGTATTTATCACAGCAACACAACAGAAAGCAAACTAGAAAGGCCACTTTCTACTCCAGATGTCTTCTACAACCACTTCCAGATGTCTTTCCAACTTTCTGGATCATCCTGCGTCTTGCTGCTGCCTGGACCCCTGGCTGCATTCCCGGTCTTAGGCCCTAAATCTGCCACGTGCCCAACAAGCTCCATCTCTACATTCCCACCTCTCTTCCTTTGTTCATTTCTCTAGTGGCCAAGGTGGCAGCTTTATCTTCTATGGGATTTTCCCTTTCAAAAGTCCACAATCAAGAGTTACTTAGTTTAACAGTATTCTCTGGCTCACCATCCTTTAACAGGGATGTGAAAATGGTATAAGACATAGATTTCTCCTTTGAGGAACTGCCAAGAATGGGGTGTACTAGCGCAATAGGCAGAGAAGACCTGGGTTGCCCTTCAGATCACTTGCTTTAGGCAGCTACTATCTACAGGATCAGCTCTTGTTGGATTCCTGTGAAGGTCTTAAGGCACCCGGACATTGGCTCTTTCTTGAAGCCCAGACAGTGTCCAGCCTGTCTGGGTTGATTGACCCACGAGTCACCTAGAGACCACCATTCTGCTTTTTCTACATTTAGTTCAGCCTTTCTGACAGCCACTGAATCAACACTCCCTTACTTCTGAAACAGAAGAAAAGAGACTAATTCTCATAGGTAATTGAAGAAGTCGAGCGACAGTATGAATTACTCAGGGCTGATGAATCTCAGGCCATCCATTTGGATTCCTGGGGAACTGCATAACAAGTTGGCATCAGCTATAATCAGAGGCAGGACTTGGAGGGACAAGTCCCTCTACCCAGTGAGAAAGAACATGAACTGGGCTAGGTGTATCAGTACAGTTTGTGAACTGAGCACTGACTAGGCATTGGAGCCCATACCTGTTGGTTGAAGAGTACTCTGCGAACAAAATCTGCCTTATCTTTTCTTGAGACCACGGCACGATTTGGCACTCTGGCCAGGTGGCAGCTCTGAGCCTCGGTCACAGGCTTCCTGGTGCCATCAAGGCACAGCAACTGAAAGTCTTCTTGTTTCAGACCCTTAGCCCACACCTCAGGGTTCTTTCCTAGAGAGAGAAAGATGGATCAGCCACAGCTGACAGCTTTAGTCAAGGTTCCATCACAGGGAATGAGATAGGCTTCCAGTGCTTGGCAAGTCATTCTATACAGAGAAATCAAACAAATAGAAGAGAAATTTCATAAACTAATAATCTTCTTATTTTGTACTTTTTCACTTCTTTTAAAGGAAAAGATTTCTTAAGACAGCCCTGAGTCCTGAGGTAACAAGTAAGCATCAACACGAGACTCGTCTTTGCCAGTCTGGATCATTGTTGAATCTCCAGTACTAAGCAGTGTCCATTGGTTCTTGATGAACATTTGCTAGATAGTGGCCTGAAGGAGCCCCAAGGGGAAGGCATCTTTACCCCATTTGACAAGGATAGCTCAGACAGGTAAAGCCACTTGACTTGCCCAATGTCACATAACTAAGGAGAGATTCATAGCCAGAGTTGAAGTTGGGGGCAGGAAACCTCCTTTATAAGCATGTGCCAGCCACGGGGTGCTTTGGCCGTATGGGGGGGTACTTTACCTTCAGTACCCTATGTGTTCTTCCTAGCAGCACTGGAAGCAAGTCACCCTATGCCTATTTCAAGAAAAAGCAAAGTTTGACAGGAATGGTGGTGCAGACCACAACAGTAGCTACTCAGGAGGCCTACATAGCAGAAGCAAGTTCAAGGCTGGCCTGGGAAATGTAGCAAGATGTTTTCTTTAAAATAAAAATTTTTTAAAAAGTGGGACTGAGAGATGGCTCAGCGGTTAAGAGTACTGGCTGTTCTTGCAGAGGACCTGGGTTCAGTTCTCAGCACTCACAAGGTAGCTAACAATCTTCTGTAACTCCAGTTCCAGGGAATCTGATGCCCTCTTCTGGCCTCCATGAGCATTTCATACACATAGTACACTTTTATACATACAGTCAAAACTTTACTCAGACACATAAAATAAAAATAAACTTTAGAAAAATTCAGAAGAAAAGGAAAAAGGCAAGTCCCAAAAAGGGACAAGATATTTTCCAATATAGAGGGTTGGAAAAAACTTGAATCTGGACTACAAAAAGAATGTCTGTCAATCAAAGGAGCCAGACACACTCATACAGACTATGCCCTCAAGGTGTTTGTCAGCTGGGTTTCAAGGCCAGGTTAATACCAATACCATCTAATTTGAATAGACAGGAAAACTGCTTAAATTTTAAATAAAAGTGTTAGGACACAAATCACCAGAGTCTGGTAGGGTTAGTTATTAAACTTTCCAAGTTGTCCTATTGGGAGCCATTCTGCCAGGGAGACCCAGATTTTTTCAAGTCAGAAAAGGATAGTAGGGTACCTACCATCAGTGTTCTGTAGAACCGTGGGGTGCTTCATGAAGGCCACATCTCCCTTCTCAACTAGACACCTGTTCAACAAGGACCAGATCAGCAAGGAGAGTCAACAGAAGTGAAAGGGAGACACCAGAAGGGAGTCACACCCCTCCCCAGGTACCAACACACCCACACAAGTAACCTGAGCACCTGCACCATCCCTGAGTATTAGAGGAATGTTATGAAAGAGAGAGTTGCTCATTGAGTTTCAGTCATGGAGAACCACCATTCAGATTCTCATTCAAAATACTGACCAGTTTTCCCAGAGGGGATGCTTGTGCTCTATTTACAGGGTTATCTCAGGAATGACTCTCTGATTAGACCCAAAACACACAACATGTGGAAAATGTAGTTTTGACTGAGTTTGATCTCACTTTCCTGTCTGCTCAGTATTGCAACAATGAATGTACTTCTCTAGACATTGGTCACTTTTAATCCCATGAAAAAATGTTTATATCTGCTCAGGTACATTTTTATGAGAAATATTGAGGACATTAAAAATCAGCTCTATGGCATTCAGTCTGTTAGAAATGGCTATTAATTGTCAGAGGCACTGGTATTATTTGTTGTGAAATGTCCCCCCTGGGCTCATGCATTGAAGGCTTGGTCCTCAGCTGGTGGTATTATTTTGGCAGTTGATGGAAACTCTAGAAGACTGAGGTCTAGTTACAGGAAGTAGATCACTGGGGTCATGCCTTTGAAGAGCATATCTGGTGCCTCCCCCAGCACCTTCCTAACCACTATGAGCATCTTTGTTCCACCACACCCTTCCGCTCTGATGTTGCACCTCACCTTAGGCCTACGGCAATGTAGAAAGCTGACCATGCATTGAAATTATAAACCCATGAAACAAAGTAAATCCCCCTTCCTTTAAACTGTTCCCTTAGGAATTTGTCACCACAATGAAAAACTAACACAAGCATCTCTCTCTACTATCTTTTGGTGTCTCTCTACATAACTAGGGTCTACACCCATTAAAACTAGCTAAATTCGGGGAGTAGAGATGGCTCAGTGGTTAAGAGCACTGGCTGCTCTTGCAGAGGACCTGGGTTAGAATCATAGCACCCACATGACGGCTAACAACTGTCCATAACTCCAGTTCCAGGGGATCCTACACCTTCTTCTGACCTCCTCAGGTATTGTACAACACGGGTGCACTTACATATATGTAGGCAATCCATTCATACACAGAAAATGAAAACAATAAAATATTTTTTATAAAAACTAACTATATCCCTCACCCTACTTCTTTTCTTCATGTTCCCTTCTTAAGGATCACAATCCTGCATGGGCATGGTCACCAACTCAGATGTGTCTGCACCTCAGGGCAAGACAGACAGACAGAGATTTTCCTGCTTTTTCACCTCAGAGGAACACTACTACCATCCTTTCTCTACTCTAGGTCAGTGGTTCTCAGAGTCATAGGTTAGAAACTAGCAGCATCAACATGAGCATCAGCATCAGCATCAGCTGGAAACCTAATGCAAGTACTTGAGCCCCACCAGACCTGCAGGGGAATGAGAGACTCTGGAGGTGGCATCCTGGAATCTGCTTTCGCACGCCCTCTGGGAGATTCTGATTCATGCCCACATTTGAAAATCACAGCTTCAGACAATTACCTGCTCATTTCATAGTTTTCCCACTTCCTACTAACCTATATCGTCCCACTTCCTCTTCTTCAACATACATGCAATTCAATATACATTTCCTGCTTCCCAGAAAAAAAAAAACACCACAGACACCATACGCTGGCTTTCTCCCTGCAGCCCTCTGCCAGAGCTGTTTCAATGCCAATCGGTCAGAGGAGGGCAGATCGCTCTCTGGCACAGGTGTCCTGTATCTCAAGCCCACTCGTGCTCTCAGGAACTGTCTGCCATAGTATACACAGTCTCATATAATTATAACTGTTCTTTGTTCGCTGGACTTTTCCATCAGCATTTATATGTCTATTCTTATCAACTCTTCTTGACCCACACTACAGCCAGGAATGGCCCTCTCTTCCAGATTCATCCAGAAACCTAAAAGGAATTATTCTTTACCAGCACCCCTCCACAACTCCTGATGGCTTCCAATCCAGCTCCTGAATCACTAAGTGTGCTCCAGGGGCCAGTGCTCAGCACACATTTTATTCAGCCTCTCAAGTCCTTCCTCTCTCCAGTGACCTGAAATGTCCCCTTTGTTCTGGACTAACACACTATGTGTCCTGACAGTCTCTCAGTTCTGTTCTCTTCCACTGATCACTTCAGCCTCTGCTGATGACTGCAGTGTTGTCATGTGATCTTATGTATAGGAAATGCAAAATATTTATATAATTTTATTCTTGTTCTTAGGTGACCCCCTCCTCAACCATTATCACTTTTTGTTGTTTAAAATGGAAACTTTGTTTGCTCAGTACACCAAATAAGATGTCGTGACAAATACACAGACGTGCAGAGCAATATGAAACAGTACTTTATTTAAAAGAAAGGAATCTCTTCAGTTTTAAGGCAACATACTCCCAAGATTCCTCCCCCTCAGTTGATTAAACAGCTCAACAAAATAAAGGTTAATGAAGTAAATAGAAGTCAATTTGTGACTTTTTCTTAAAAAAAAAAAAAAAACACCAGGGGCTGGGTGGTAAATTGCTTGTTATACAAGCATGAGGACCTAAGTTCAAATCCCTAGCACCCATATTTTTAAAAAGCTGGGTGTGGTGGTGCATGTCTATAATCCTAGTGCTAGGGAGGCAGAGACAGGATCCCTGGGGCTTGCTGAGCAGCACTATTATTGAATCAGTTCCAGGTTCAGTGAGATACCCTGCCTCAAAAACTGGTGGAAAGCAATAGAGGAAGACTTCTATTGCTCATATTTGACCAGCATATGTGCATGAGTACCCCCCCTCACACACACAAACTCCAACTCTATTAATGCATGCCAGTCATTGGCCTAAAGCTTACCAATTAGGCTAGACTGGCTGACCAGCAAGCCCCAATGATCCTTTGCCACCCACCCCCAACACTGGGATCATTACTGTGTTCCATTACATCAGAAGATTTTTCTTACATGGGTGTTGGGGATATAACTCAGGTCATCATGCTTGTAAGGCAAGTGATTTGTACTGAGCCATCTCCCCAGCCTCCTGAACAGATTCTTAAATTGGGTCCTGAGGAAACTGAAAGGAAAGAAGATGGAGTGAGCAATAGTATTTAACTCCAAATAAAATTTTGTTGTAAGAGGGTGAATATACAATTTCTGGAATTAATCTTTGTTTAAGGTGGAAAAAATAGAAGCATGTTTATATGCTGGTAGAAACGACCTAGTGCAAAAGGAAATGTGGAGCTCTGGTGGTGGAATCAGTTAAGGTATCGTTCTTATAAGAAGAAAATGTGATGACGCAGAGAAAAAGAAAAATTGCTGGGCAATGCCCTTAGATGCACAGAAGAGGTGATTCCTGCAGGTGTAGGACTGGGCTGCTTCAGGAGAGGGTAAGTTACAGTGAGAGGAAGGCAAGTAACATCTGAGGGCACAGACGCTGGCATGCAAATGGATATAGTAGTGAGGCTTCATGAAGCAACCTCTCGTTGTTTCATATCCTAGGAAAGGGGGACCCAGAGGTATGGCTCCTTTGAGTTTGGTTTCCATTACTGGAAAGGAAAACCAGGCAGCCTGGAAGTGCAGGCACTAGGTAATGAAATGCAGGCATCAACTGATGCCATAATTTAGTTTCAAGCCTATTTTGTCAGATATTAGAAGAGCTATACCTGCTTGTTTCTTAGTTCTGTTTGCTTGGAATACCTCTTTCCATCCTTTTACCCTAAGGTGGTGTCAATCATTCATGGTGAGGTGTGTTTCTTGGAGGTGGCCAATTGATGGATCCTGTTTTATAATCAAATTAGCTAGTCTTTGTCTTTTTATGGGGGGGCTAGACCATTAATATTGACAGTTATATTGGCCAATGTTTACTAATTTCTGTTATGGTGGTGTTGCAGTAGTTTCTTAGACCTCTTTTTTATAATTTTTTTATTTATTATTTTTATTTTATGTGTATGATTGTATTGCTTCCATATGTGTAAGTGCACCCATGTCATGCAATGCCTGTGGAGAGCAGAAGAGGATGCTGAATTTCCCCAGAACTGGAGTTATGGATGATTATTAACCACCATGGGCCTGGGAATCAAAACTGAGTCCTCTGCAAGAGCAGCCAGTACTCTTAACCACTGAGACATCTGTCCAGGCCCCTCTTAGACCTCTTTTGATGAACTGTTCTGGGGTAATTTATTTCTTCTTTATACCCTCTTGAGAATGTTAATCTCTTCAGACCAAAGTATTCTATTGAATATTTTCTATGGAGCTATTTTTGTGGACATAGATCCTTAAATCTGTTTTTATCATGGATAGTTTTTCTTTCTTCTTCAATTACAACAGATAGTTTCTGGGAATAGTAGTCTGGGCTGGGATCTGTGTTCTTTCATGACTTGTAGGAAATGTATCCAAGTCCTTCTGGCTTTCATAGTTGCCACTGAAAAGTTAGCTGTTATTCTTATAGGCCTGCGTTTATATGGGACTTGATCTTTCTCTCTCACAGCTTGATGTCATAGTTTGGCTGGGAGCAAGGGGGACAGACACTAAGGACATGTGCAGGGTAACAATTATCATGGCCAGTTTTTAAATGTGTCCTGAGTACTGAGGGGAAATGAGGACACAGGAGAGGGTGTGAGAACAAGAAAGAGTTTAAAAGATCAGTGCATCCCAGGTCAGCAGGCTGCTGTAGTCATGAAATCAGGGGGAGTGAAATGACAGGTAGGAGATGACAGAGAACATGATATTTGAAGTTAGATTGTTCTTTGAGTACTCCTCATCATTTTGGAAGAGGTAAATTGTGTTTCTGAACATAACTCCAATAATTTTAGGTCCTCTGTATCAAAATGAGGTCGGAGGAGGTGGTGCACACCAATAATCCCAGCATTTGAAAGACTAACACCAAACTGGCTCAGGGGTACACATGCTTGCTGAAGCCTAATGACCTGAGTTAAATCCCCAAGACCCACGTAGTGGAAGGAAACTCTACATGCGCGCGCACACACACACACACACACACACACACACACACACACACACACACGAGAGAGAGAGAGAGAGAGAGAGAGAGAGAGAGAGAGAGAGAGATCAGTCTTTTCTAAAGATATGCAGGGCCTTAAATGGAATACAAGAAGATGATTAAGAACGAGGTTCTCTCTTTGCCACATCTACTAAGAGAACGAAGACCATGCTAAGCAATTTGACTGTCATCTTTTAAAAAAATGTAGACACCACTCTGAAGGGATGCACAGTTATTCTGAAGAGCCCAGAGGAACCCTCTTCCATATCAGTGTAGAGCTCGGTCTCCTTAGAAAAAGAAGAGGCTCTGGGGTGACAAATGGTGAGGAAACAGAAAGGAACTGGCCACTGTAAAAACTATTTGTAGTCATTCCGAAATGGGCTCTGTGGATGCTCACCTCCCCTATTAACTTCATTATTCAGGAGAATGGGTCTCTGAAGTTTGAAATCTGAAATTTCTTGGGTGAAAAATAAATTCACAGGGTTTGGATAAGAAGGATGAATTAATTATTGAAGGAAATAATGATGAACTTGTCTCAAATTCAGCTGCTTTGACTCAACAAATTTCACAGATAAAAACAAGTATCTCAAACTTTTTGAATGGTACCTATGTTTCTTAAACAGGAACCGTGCAGCAGGCTGAATGAGTCAGACCTGTGTTATCCAGCTCCCAAAGCAAGATCAGGGATTATAAGAACAATTTGGGATATCTTTGGATACCACAAAAAACTCATATTGAAAAAAATTATTTTAAAAGAAGACTGGCAAGTTGGCTCAGTGGTAGAGACTTCTATTTTGTCTTTTTGAAGCAGGGTCTCCCTGTAGCCCCAGCTGTCCTGGAACTCACTATGTAGACCAGGCTGGCCTTGAACTCACAGAGATCCACCTACCTCTGCCTCCCGAGTGCTGGGATTAAAGGCGTGTGCCACCACGCCCAGCTGGTAGAGGCATTTTTGACAACCTGAGTTCAATCTCTACACCCCACAAGATGGCATGAGAGAATTGACTCCTGTCAGTTGTCCTCTGACTGACATACATTCACCCTGGCACATGTGCACCTGTACACACACACACACATACGCACACACACATATACACAATAAATAATAATTAAATAAACAATTGCTTTAAGTATTGAAATTGGGGCAAACTTGTTACCAATATACCTTATGATGCAAAGAAACTTAAAGTTATTTCACCTTAGGTTTAACATTCAGCATTTATTATTATCACTAATATACGGCTTAGTAAAGAGGAAAAACTTTGGAGACAATAGAATGACATGGTCTGGTAGTATAATAACCTGGTGTCTAAGAATAAAAGAGTACTTTCTAGAACTTCACACATTGCCCACACAGTTTATTGACCCAGCACAGCTCTCCTGCCTTAACAGATCCAGCAAGGCTCATTATACTTAGAATAAAATCTAGCTGCTCAATTAGGCCTACAGGGCTTGACAGATGTGCTCCAGTAGGTTACAACTTAGACCCTTCTTTCTCCACAGTTTGACCCACAGATGGTCATTGGCCTCAATGCAGTGTGATTTGTCCCACCTTCATAACCTCGTCTTTGCTGACCGTATTTCTAGATTACTCTTGATCCAGATTCTCTCAGACCTGATCTCATCTCATTATTTGGTTCTCAGATTTCATGGTTCCTCTACTCCATAAAGCCTTCTCTGAGCACTTTTTTAAAAAGTGTTCCCTGTCCTGGTCACTGCCACATCACTCTCTACTGTAGTTAGAATCTTGAGTACCTTCCAAAGGGACATGACTGTTAAAGGTTTCATTCTGGAGACTGGAGAGATTGCTTCACAATTAAGAGTGCTTGCTGGTCTTTCATAGGACCAGTGTTTGACTCCCAGTACCCATCTCGGGAGGCTCACAACTGCCTGTAACTCCAACTCCAGGGGTCTGACATGCTCTTATGAATTCTTATAGTGCCTGCACTCATGTTTACATAGCCACACAGACACACAGAGGACACACACGTATACAGACACATAGACACACACACACACACACACACACACACACAAATAAAAATGTTACAACTTTTTTAAAAGGCTTGGTTCTGGGGTGGTGTGGAGCTGGGACCTGGAGGAAATGCAACCTCGTGGGAAGTCCTTAAGTCATTAGGCATGCCTTTGAAGGGGATTGGGTTCTGCAGGATCATGGACTGGAACCTCTAAGACCATGAGCCAAATGAACTTTTCTCCTTATAAGCTGATTATCAGGTGTTTTACCGTGGTGATGGAATGTTCACTATCACATGCCCCCTTGGTCCTTCTATAGCACCTACAGTTAGAAAGAATCTTGTTTATTTGTGTGTCTACTGTCCTGCTCTTCCCGTGGAATCCAGCATGGGCAGGGGCAGAACCCAGAACCAGCTTGCTGTAACCCCTGTACCTAGAACAGCACCCCTCTCATATCTGATGCTCTATTAAGTATTTCCTTTCTTGAATAAGGGAAGGAGCCTAAAGGTATCTATTTTTTAAAGATATTCATCAGCCAAGTGTAAGAAGCAAGCTATCTCTCCTGTGATTTAAAATGGAAACTCTGGGGCTAGAGAGATGCCTTAGTGGTTAAAAGCCCTGGCTGCTCTTACAGAGGACCCAGGTTCGAATCCCAGCACGTGGCTGCTAACAACCTCCAGTAATTCCAATTCCAAGGGATCCGAAGCCCTCTTCTTACCTCCACCAGCATTGAGTAACAGGAGTACACTTACACACATGCAGACAATACACTAATATACAGAAAAGTAAATAAGATTTTTTTAAAAAATTTAAAACATAAAATAAAATGGAAGTTCTACCAGATCCCATGACTTATCTATAGTCACACAGAAGAAAGGAGAAAAACTAGACTCTTCAGCACCAATCCTGCCTCCTCTAAGTCTCTGAAATGCTGTAAGGCAGCTGGGCATGCTCTAGAACTGAGCTGATCATCAATCCTTAGAGCCTGTGGAATTGCCAGGAGCTCTGTTCTCCAGTGTTGGCTCCTCATAAATCAACACCCAGATACTAGAATAGTGAAAAGGATGAGAGAACCAGTCAGTCACTGAGATGGCACAACAGAAGAGGGTGCTCAGACACTAACCTGAGAGCCCCGCTAGAGCCATAGTATCTCTCGTGGCTGTTGGGAGCACACATGTGGGCTGGATTGTCACTACCACCACACAGAGCACAGAGACGGGAATCCGGATTAGACCCGGGGGCACAGCTGTGACTGAAGAACTCATCTACAAGAAAGGACAACCGGAGTCAGTTCTTTCTGAAATTGCAGAAAAGTCCCGAAGACTGGCTTGTGATACAAACACACAGCTGGTTATGTGGCAACATTATCAATAGCTGAGGAGATGGCTCAGTAGGTAAAGTGACTGTCATGCAAGCATGAAGACCTGAATTCAGATCCCCAGCACCCATGTATACGTTGGGTGCAGCAGCACAGGTCTGTAATTCCAGTGCTAGGAAGGGAGGTCAGAGACAGGTTGATCCCTGACGCTCACTGGCCAGTCAAACAGGTAAGCTCCAGGTTCAACGAGAAACCCTGTCTCAAAAATTCAAAAATTAAGGTGGGTGGAGCTGGAGTGATGGCTTAGAGGTTAAGAGCACTGGGTGCTCTTGCAGTGGACCCAAGTTGGGTTCCCAGCCCCCACATAGCAGCTAACAACCATCCATAACGCCAGTTCCAGGGGATCTGACACCGTCTTCTGGCCTCTGTGGGTATTACACAACATGGGTCCACTTACTTTTATACATACATATAAGATAAAAATAAACAAGTCAAAAAAATTAAAAATAAGGTGGAGAGCAGTTGAAGAAGACACCCAACATCAACCTCTAGCTTCTACACACATGCATCTGTACCTTCACATGCACACACCCACATGAACATGTGCATTCTCCACATACACACAAACACATACAAAGTGAATATAAAAAGAAACAAGAACTATATGGAATCAAAGCAAGATTCCAGATAGTAAAGTAAAGGGGACTGACCAGAGATGGGCCAGTCTGTAAGCTTATAGTGATCCATCACTGTCACCATACAGGGCAAGAGTATCAAGAGGCAGAGAGCTTAGCCCTAGGAGAGTGAAAAAGTAGAACCTGGCTGCGTTGCCTCCCATATTTTCTGCTCTCTGTTGTCTTGACTTTCCTTTAAAAAAAGTGTTATTGTGACTTCAAGTTAGGAAAGGAATAGAGGGCCATGGCTGCCAAGCCAAACACTGAGCTCCAGAGCCCCAGGATGAGGAGGACATCAGTACCAAGCCCTCCCCCCTTAGAATGTACAACCTATGGGTGACAGTCAAAACTCAAGTAACCACAATCATGTTTCCCTTTTTTCTTTGGGAAGAAAGAATATGATCCCATGAGGCTGTAGATAGAGGGATTCTCTATAGACCTCAGAGGCAAGACAAGAGGTAAGGGATAAGAAAGTGGTCCCCGAGCCAGGGGTGGAGAAGAGCCTTCAGACAGGGGCTGGCACCCACAAGGGCTTGTGTAGAGGTTGGGTCTGGACATAGCACAGGGAGCTTGATGGAAGCCATTCAGGCAGACCACCAAGAGAAGGGAAGGGGCAGGGTCCATATGGCATGGGCTATCACTGCACAGCTACTGCTCTTTGTCCCTAGGGAAATGGGGAGCCTCTTAAGGGATTTAGACAATGCTGGCTATATGTAATGACCAGTACAGTTAGTCCCACACTTTGCAGAGGTCCACCCGGCAGAGAGGTTGTGAAATCTAGGGCTGTGTTTAGGTGTAAGAGCATTGTCATGGTCCAGGGCACATGAGCATAAGGGATTGAGAGGTAGGTGGGAGGAAGAGAAACTAACATTGGGCAAGTAGAACTCTAGCCTCATCCATCATGTTAGTACATCACCAGGCTCATCAGGGAGAAAGCATTTAGTTTGGGACAAGAATGAGCTTAATATGTATTTGAACTATTCAATTAGATATGGCAAATAGACAGTTGAGTAGAGAAATAATTGAGCTGGATGTGGTGGTACATGTCTACACAATCCCAGTGCTTAGGAGGTGGAAGCAGGAGTAATAGGAGTTCAAGGTCATCCTCAGCTATGTGGAGAACTTGGTATCAGCCTTCAGACACAATAACAGTACAGCCAGCATCTGTCTATTGTATACCAGAAGCCCAGCTTTGTATGTAGCCATGATGATTGGGGCTGCATCCCTAGAGGTGAATGTTTGGAGATTAGGCTTAGACTGGGGGGAAAGAACTCCTTTATGAAAGTAAATTATATCTTAACCAGGTGGGAAAGGGGAAGATCTTGTAGAAGCAGGGAAAAAAGGTTAAGCCAGGATGTCTTCGAAAAGTCAGAAAATGGTATTTTAAGATGAGTTGAGGAAATGGTACTGAGCGATGAGGAGATAGCTGGAGTCCAAGAAGCTCAGCAACTTGGAAGGGCTGGGGGCTTCCACCAGAGTAACTGATGCCTATGGGATGATGCAGGCAAGATGGACAGGGAAAGCTGAGGAGTGAGTGGAAGGGGTGTGGTTCAGACGATGCTTTTAGGACCTGGTAGGAAAGGAAAGGAGAAAGGAACGCAGAGGATTCAGGAGAATGTTGTAGGAAGAATTCTTAAAGACAGAAGACATTGAGTGTATTAATGTGTTAAAAGAAAACTGTTGGATATGCCTGAAGGAGAAGAAATAACTGAGAGCCCAAGACTCTAGAAGGCAGTGAGTGGCACCAGATGCAGGCAGAGGGATCTGCTGGGCACACAGGAGCTGTTACAAAGTTCCCAGCTTCAGCAGGGGGATACAGAAGGCTTCGATTGTCTCTTTGATGGTGCCCACTGACTGGGTCATCTAGTGAGAAAGGTGGCAGGTGGATGTGGGTTTGAGGTGTGTGGAGGCTTGAATGAGAGTGGTCCCCGTAGGCTCCAACTATTTGAATGCTTGACCCCAGTTGGTGGCCCTGTTTGCAGAGGTTCAGGGGGTGTGGCCACATTGGAGGAAGCGCATCAGTGGAGGTGGGCCTGGAGAGTTCATAGCCACTCCTACTTCTGGTTTTGTTCTTTCTGCTTCCTGCGCCTGCTTGAAGATGTGAGGGCTCTGCTTTCTGCTCCCACTGCCTCCTGCCATGTTTCCCTAACATGATGGACTCTTAGCCCTTCAGAACTGTAAACCCAGTCAACTCTTCCTTCTATAAATTGCCTTCATTATGGTGTTTTATCACAGCAACAGAAAAGTAACTAATACAAGGTATTAATTACTTTTAATTAGTTACTTCTATTAATACAAGTAACTAATATTGAAAACTGGGAGAATTATTGGGAGGTGTGGCAGTACTTGTGAGGGTTGGGGCCACTGAGGCCATTGACTGGGGCATTTCTAGAGAAACAACTGCTCTACTGCCCTATGATGCTCTTGGGTGGGTTCTGCTGTTCAGGTGCAGATGGAGCAGGTGACAGGTCTCATACAAGCTAGGATATGTCAGGTAGGAGAGAAAAGCAGAGGAGAAGTCTTAGGCTCCATGAAGAGCACAGCAGAAGTAGCTAGTGTGGGGTGCTAGAAGGCAGGATGAACGAAAAAAGTGCCCTACTCGAGGGCTTTCTGGTGAAAGGACTTCAAATACAAAAGCAGCTGATTGTGTGAAAATGACACGCACACTTACACCCTCTACTCAGGCTCTGCTTGCTCTTAGTACCAATTGTGTATGAGACATATGAATAGGGCCATTCCCCTGATGCCTTTGGAGCCATGCACTCCCATCAGAAGCAAGTGGGTGAGGAGGAAGGGGAGGCCCTGCCCAGGGAGAGGTGGGGCTTGCCCTCAGTGCCTGTCAGACCCTGGATCCAAACACCCAATTATGACATTCTTTGCCATTCACTGAACTGGATTTCTCCCCAACCCAGAAACAAGCCCAAGGAAGGGACTACCTGGCCTTCAGAACACACTCACCGAATTTACAGGACCCAGTTTGGTTGTATATTAAACCCATGGGGATGTTCCAGCCTGCAGAAGTACCAACTGCAGTATGGCAGGACTTCTTGCTTCTCAGAGACTTCCAGGTGATATCAGCATCTGACTTCTTAACCACGGCCACCACATAATAACCTTACAGCGAGGACACCAAGACACAAGTTCTTTACTGTTTGGAGAGGAGGAACAGATGGAAATAGACTCTGACCCCTTCTTCCCCAGACTATTTAATGGCATCTGTGGTAGAGAATGTGAACTTGGTTCCTCCATTTTTAAAATGAGAAAACAATTTAAAAAAAATTTAATTGAAATTTTTACACTTTTCATACAATATGATTTGATGGTATTTAGATTCCCTCCCCCATCCGCACTTCCCCCCACTGCCTCCCTCTGAGGAAACAATTTTAATCTTAAGAAGCTATTGTGAGGAGGAATGGATTTCTACAACGTTTCTCTTGTGCCATCCAATGAGTAGGGGCATTGCAATTATCACAAAACTTAACTGGGATCATTCCTGAAGTCACTTACACATCATTGATTGAGAAATTAAAAATATTATTGTGGCTGAGTGTGGCGTCACACACCTTTAACCCCAATACTCAAGAGGCAGAGGCAGGTGGATCTCTGTAAGCCTGTTGCAGTCCCTGGGCCTCAGTGTCCCCACCTACATTTCATGGGGCAATAGAGTTCATGTTACAGTGTCGCTGAGAAGAACAAACAGGAGTAGTGCTGACAGAGACCTTTATCAACTGACAAGTGCCCTGTGGCTATCAATTGTTATGACAGCCTCAGGACAGATTTGTGTCTCAACAAAACCAGAGCCTCTTCAACTCTAATATAAATTGTGCTGGTTTAAAATTTTTTAAATTCATGTGTATGTGTATGTGCTGTGAGTCTATGCACACTACATGCATGCAGGTACCCAAGGAGGTCAGAAGAGGGTGTTGGATCACCTGGAACTGGAGTTACAGACAGCTGTGAGCCACGTGATGTAGGTGCTGGGAACTGAGCCCAGATCCTCTGCAAGAGTGGTATGTGCTCTTAACTGTTGAGCCATTTCTCCAGCTCCCAGTTTTGTTTGTTTCTAAGGCTTCCCTAAGCACTTCCTCATGATAGGCTTCTGCCTTTGAACCCCAATGTTACTGAATCACTCACCTTCCAAGGGTGCATTCACACACTTAGAGCCCAGCCGCCCACTGCCATGTGTAGGCACTAAAAGGGAAAACAGAAACAACGAAGGTCCACATTAAACGCTCACATTCACCATCTAAAAGTATGAGCTTCTCAATCTCAACCCTGGAGAATAAAGTGAGATGTTAACTTAGCAATTCATCGCTGGTTATCTACTTGCTCGGGCTCTGCAGGCCCTTTAACTCCCTCTTCCTGTGCTCTTTGCCATTTGAACATTAGATTCCATCCCAGAATGTCCTTGACACTCATGCAGTTATGAAAGAAAGAAAATGAGATGGTCATTGAAGGGTATAAGAAATAAATCATCACAGCCCATTTTCAGTATGAGGTGTATTGGAATTCATCAGAGGATCACAGACAAGCAGGAGGGCACTAGGCCCCTGTCTTCCCTAGCTGGCACCTGACACCTGACACCTGACACCTGATCGTCTAGGTGCTTTCAGTCCAACCTATGGTTGAAAAGTTACAGGCAGTCTGCTACATGACTGAGACTATATATTAGAAAAGGGGGGAATCTTAAGCCCCAGGATGCATATTAGATAAGTCCTGAGTCCTGAACTAGTAGGATGGGGACTCTAGGCAGGGTGGAAATACTAGACAGTGTGAAGATTGTACCTCCCTGAAGAACTCAGCCAATGAGGAATTCAGGGGGCAGAGAAATGTCAGAAATAGAAAAGTCACTCACTGCTTTACACCAAATCAACAAGCAAGCCGTTTTTGTCTTTTCTCTAGGCCAACTTTGCAAGGTCATAAAAGATACATCTTAGCTTTGGGGACTCTGACTCACCAAGGTTCTTGTTGTATTCTTATTATAAAGTGTGGTTCTTTCTTTCTCACAAGGAGAGGAATGGCAGAGACCACTTCAGATGTCAGCAAAGATCCCTTCGAAGTAGCCGTGTGGGTGCTGACACCTTCCTGAGTTAGCGGCAAGTCAACCCCTGGGCGATTGGGCAAGTGCTGTTCCGGCTCTACTCCATGCCCTCCCTTATCACTGCATCCATGATAAAGGTATTATATTGATCTGATTCTGCCTGCAACCATCCTGACAAGACCAAAGACACTCTGAAGAGACACACTTGTTCCCTCCTTTTGGCTATCAGACTATTGAAACCATGGTCTCCAAGGAATTGGAATTTCCCCAGAAATCTCATTCTAGGGGACAGGAAAGGTTAAGTCCTGGTACCAGCTAGAGGCAGAATTTGGCTCTCAGGAAGAGATTCCATACAGTTCTGACACTTGTCAGACCACCTTGCAGGAGAGACTAGAGCCAAGCAAATCGATGAGTCAAGTGATGAGAGAGACCGCGCCATGAGCAGGCTTGCTTACTGTGCGTGCTGTTCACCTTCCACCTAAACCATAACCTCATATTAGAATCCCAAAGATGGACTTGGGGGTCACTGTACCTCTCATTTGTTTCTCTTCCCTGTGTGACTACACTGCATAAATATTTTTCTCTTATGTTTCACAACTACTTGATGCTTTTATTGTTGCACTGAGGACAGGTGGCTGACCTTAGCTGGTTATGGCTGCTAGGGCCCAGGCCCTGATCTGAAAAACTTCAGAAACAGCCTAACTCCTGCATCTGTGTCTTAACTGTTTCTGACTGTGGAGAAGGAGATCCTTCCTCATAGCTGCCTAAACTCCAGAATTACTTACTATTATCTTATCAGCAAGCTACATTATTTCCTGATTTTTCTATGCCCACAACCCAGGGGGATGAAGACACAGAGGAGCACCCACTTTACTTACAGTAGTTCTCTCCCAAGATGGGCACCAGACCACACTGGCCGGCTATGTAGACTTGACCTCCGTCCAAGTTTGTGGCATCAGCTTCTCCTTTCTGAAGTTACAAAACAAACAGTGAGGCTGTGTCCTGTCCCACTGCTCCTCAGAGTTTTTAATCTACTGTGCTTCACATCACATGTCCTTATTTAACCAAAGCTGGTTCTCTCAGATCTTCTGCCATAGAAATGTGGGCCTCAGAGAACTAGACATGTCTTTATCCTGTTGACTAGAAGCAAGGGTCCAACCTAGGCTAAGGATGGCTGTGAACTTCTGATCCTCCTACCTCTACCTCCCAAGTGCTGGGATTACAGATATATGCCAACATACCTGGCTACATAGCTATTAAAAACTTTTCTTTTTTTTTAAGACAGAGTCTCACTATGTAGTCTTGGCAGGCCTAGAACTCACTACACAGACTAGGTTGGGCTCAAACTCACAGAGATCTGCCTGCCTCTGCCTCTGGGATTAAAGGCATGTGCTGCCATGCGCAGCCCTTAAAAATATATTTTAATGGAAGATTTAATTACCTAAGAAAATATACCTACTGTGATCAAGACATTAAATTATAATAATACGTAACATTTACTGATAGATTGCTCTATGTCAAGCAATATTCTAAATGCTCAAATTGTAATCTTTACAAATGACAAAATTTGGAAACTATATATCCAACAAAATGCTTTCTTTTTTTATTATTTTTAATTATGTGTATGTGTGTGTCTGTGTGTAGGTATGTGTACATGAGTACAAGTGCCTTCAGTGACCAGAGGCACCAGATGTCCCAGGAGCTGGAGTTACATGGGGCTGTGAACCACCCAATGTGGTTGCTGGGAACTGAACTCAGGTCCTCTGAAAGTGCAATATGTACTCTTATCCTTTGAGCCATCTCTCCAGCCCCCAGCACAATCGTATGCCCATGGGTTTGTGACAAGTTTACCCAGATCAGGATCCTCTCAAATTCAAGAAAAATTGTACTGAATTTGCCAGTTCTTAAGTCTTTATCAATTTCTTTTTTCCTAACCATAAAGGCATTAACTGATCCTAGAGAAATGGGAAAGTGTTAACACAACTGAATCACTCGGAAATTATGTGATTTGAAGATTGTCAGCTCACACACGCAGGGAACCTGTCCGAGAAGAGGCTCTTCCAGGTAGCAAAGCCCTAAATGGAAAAGGGCCACAGGCAGAGCAAGTACTAATTAGGCCCATTCTTTTTCTTTTTCCAGGTGCCCCCTTTAATCCAGGAATACCCTTGGGAGTTTCTAACACCTTGCTTCAGTCAGAAATCAAGAAAACGTGTTCCTCCCCCGACTCTCTCACAGGAATCTTAAAATAACAAGTTCTGCTCTCCCTTGGCAGACTTGAAATTCTTTCAGACACACTGTGCTGCCCGTGCCCCTGTATTGTTGATAAACTTTGCCTGAAAGACAATCTCTCTCCTGATCTCTCTCTTGAACCCTGTTCCTCCTTAAAAATCCAACGACTTCTAAGTAATGAAGGCATGAACAACTTTATTCATTCTGCATTTCTCGTCCAGCAAGTAGTAATTGTTTTATGATCAGAAATAAAATTAAAAACATCGCATAGTGACTGATCACACCCTGGAATTTCATCCCACATTTTAGGTCCCTTTGTGAGGACACCCTTGGTGCTGCTCCCTGAACTCCAGAGCTGAGGTCTAAGGAATTCAGACCTGAGGCTAGCTCTGGGTTTCTGCCTGGCCCTGAGCTGAGTACTCAAAGGGTTTGTGGAATGGGGAGTGATGGGGCAGCTCATCGTAGGAGTTAGCATGCAGCTGACCCTTGGAGCGCCTGGGAAGGAGTCCTTAATGTCACCCTCTAAAGAAGCACTGAGTGTCAAAGGGTCTGAGCCCAGGCATGAGAGTGGGACTTCCTACCATGATGGCAGCAATGCAGTCCTCAGGGGTCTCCTCTGTGGTGCAGGCCATGGCACCACCACTCACAGCACTCCACTGGTCACACTTGGCCCTCTCTTGTTGACCTACTGTGCACCATTGCACTTTCTGGGAATCTTCCAAACCTAGGGCAGGTGGAAACAATCCAAGGACCCAAGGAAAGTCTCAGGTGGCTGCAGATTGGCTGCCCAATGGGGCCTCACCTGTAGCAGCAGAGAGGATGTCTCATACCCAGGACACAGCTCACTGCTGCCTGTCACTGCCTAGAAGTGGAGACCCTAGTTTTCAGGAAAAACAATGAAGGCAAAGCTTCTCCCTCTCTGTTGACATTATCTGGCCAGGAATACCTCTCAGAGCTGTAGCCCAAAGCTGGGGCTTTCCCTTGCCGGGCTTCCATCCAGGGAGTAGTGTGATGGCAGTCACATGTTCTGCTCTGGTAGGCTTACCCAGTGTTTCAGCTCATCTGCATTTAACATTTTGATCTTTTAAAGATGCTCAGTAACTATTGATTAGCTATGCAAGATGAATGTAAAGAAGAATGAAGGAAGAAATCAACTATAGGGTCCAGTGGAAGGTAAGAACTGCACTCAAAGCCTCTGACATTATTTTCTAGTTTGGCTCCTGAAATCAGCCAGACCAGCTGTTTTCCCTATTGAACACGCCATTCACTGTGTGAGTAAACTTAGTTAACGCAAGAGCTAGAAACATCATTGCTTCAAATTGTCTATGATAAGAAGGTCCTAAAAGCCCTTTTGTAGGGAATGGGGGCATACCTCAGCAGTGAAGGCCTTGCCTAACATGTGTGAGGTTCTGGGTTCAATCCCCAGCACCTCCCACCAATATAACTTTAAAATTTTTTATTTATTTTTATTTTATGTGTATGAGTGTTCTGCCTGCATGTATGTAAATTCACCACATGCATGCAATATCCATGGAGTTCAGAAGAGGGTGTCAGACCTCCTGGAACTAGAGTTACGGACAGTTGTTAGCTACCATGTGGGTGCTGGGAACTGAACCTGGGTCCTCTGCAACAGTAGCCTGGACTCTTAACTATTAAGCCATCTCTCCAGCCCCCAATATAACTTTTTTGTCATTAAATAACTTAGACCTTCATCCTAGCACAGCAGAACATCTGCTAGTTAACACAATGTCCTGAGTAGTTCTAATGGGGTTTGCAGACCAGTAAGGTTAGGTGAATCTTGCAGGCACCAGCTGAGCCTCAATCCACAGCCTTTGCCTCATATTACTGCCCCAAGCTGGGCAGATCCCTTCCAAGGCCTTACGTACCTGTCTTTAGATGCTGAATGGTAGAATAATACTCATATCCCAGGTACTGTATGAGGTCCATCTTACGGGGGACCCTCAAAAATCCATGGGTGGCATCAGTAAACAGCAGGTCTTTCCCATGAGGGGAGCCAAAGAGCTGAAATGCAGACGACTTATCTTTTCCAAAGTTTTCCTGTTCAAAGGCAGGAAAAGGGGTGAAGGGTTGTGAAAGTAAAGGCAAACGAACCCGAACCAGGTGGGGGGCACGCAGTCACCCTCCTTGTCCACAGTTTCTGTCTGCTGTCTGAGTTGCCTGTGGTTAACAGCACTCTGAAAATACTAGCTGAAAAGTTCCAGAAAGAAGCAATAAATTTTAAATAACTTTAATTACAGTGGTTACTATGTTTTTCTATTTTATTATTTTCGGGGGTAATCTCTTACTGAGCTTAGTACATACATTAATTTTTATCATAAGTTTGAGTGCAGAAAAAGGCATAGTTGCTGATTTTAAATGTTTTGACTTTGACTTTTTAACATAATGATGGGTATTGGAACATAGCTCACTGCACATCAAGGAGCATCTATCTGTATTCCTATTATCTAGCTATCTACCTACGTATCAACTATGTGTCCATCATCCATCTGTCATCTATCTATATAGATATCCATCTATCCATCCATCTATCTATCATCTATCTTTCTATTCTCTATCTATCTGTAAGATATGGGATTTTCTGAAGTTTCAGGCCTCTGCTGAGGATAAGCCCCACCCTCTACCCCCAGAGGTGAAGGGAGACATCCTGAGTACAAAGACCAGGACCTCCAACAAGTCTCTTCATGAAATGCTTTGTTCAAATTCCATCTGCTCTGTCTCATGCAGACGCAAGGAAACTGCCAAGGACTGACACCAGACCTGTTAGAAAGGGGTTTGAGTTGATTGTGTGCCAGGCTGTCTCCCATGGGGCTCCTGCTCTGTGTTCCCATGGGGGAGGTGAGCGCTGCTTCATTCAACTTGGTTAGACTTCATTCTGAAGTTGCTTCAGCACCATGCCATCAGAACTGCAGATCAAGGGGTTCTGGGTTCCCTTTTTCCTATCCCAGGCCTGCCACTGAGGGCCAGCTATGGGACATAAACAGTCTCTTCCTCTTCTGACTTCTAAAACCCCCAAAATGCCTTTTGCCTGTGACTCTTTTGCCTGACCGATTGTAACAGCCCCATAAGTTTAACTGGTCAAAACTATAAAATCTAGTCTGTTGAAAGACCCACCTTTCCACTTTCACTGGTCAATCATCTGGTCATAGGACCACCCGTAGGAAGGTGGGTTCACCTAATATTATGCTAAATAGATGGGCAGAATACCTAGTGCATTAATGAGATAGCAAATTTTTCCTGCCTGGAATCCCATCTCCTAGCACAGAACTTCTGAACCAGCCACAGTCACATAGTCTGTAAGTCTGCCTGCTTTCCTTTTCTTCTCCAAATCCCTTTTCTAAACATGTTTTCTTTAAGGCTTTGGGCTGCCCCTGGCATCTTGTATTTCTTTACTTTCTCTAAAACTTCCTTCTCCCAGCCCTGTGGCTGCCAGTCAGGCAGGCATCTGACCCCCATGCGGGCTATAAACCTGCATGGCTTCGTGGCTTTCTTTCCTTCCCCCTCCATCCTCCTCCTCAAGGCAGCTGCCAAGATGACCAGCTTGCCTGCCCCCCTGAGGATTTTTCTTTAAAGTTCTAATAAGATTGTAAAAGCTTAAATCTTGTTCTGAAGACTTTATCTTTTGGACTTTACCTTTATCCAGTCTCCTCCCAGTTAGGGCGGCACTCCCTAAATTGGCTCAGAGAGTGCTGTCCCTGGTAAATAGATTTCTTCGGCTGATTCGGAACTTTGAGTCTGAGTGGCCCTTCCTGGTGCTTCCAAACTCTGTAACACCATAGCTATTCTTTTTTTTTTTTTTTTTTTTTTTAGCCCCAGCTAGCCTAGAACTTGTTATATAGATGAGGCTGGCCTCCATCTGCCTCCCTAGTACTGGGATTAAAGGCAGGCACCACCATGCCCACTCCTATGTGCTCTTTCAAATGATGCTTTTGCTAGCCATGTTCACACATGCCTGTAACCTCAGCACTTGGGAGTCTAAGGACTAAGGATCTCAAGAGTTCGTGTTCACCCTTGGCTACATAGCAAGTTCAAGGCTAGCCTGGGCTACATGAGATCCTGTCTCAACAAAATCAAAACAGAAGAAAAAAAATTAAATGACTATATTTTGTTCTTGCAATGGTTATGCATAAAATGGCACCTGCTGCTTTTCCTAATAATCCTTTGGGCACACACATTTATTCCCAGGGCCCAGGATTCTTCCCAGAACATCCTTCAAATCTGTTCCTCTGTCAAAGCACAAGGTATATGGCCCATATTTTCAAGGTTGTGTGATTCCCCCTGGTGATAATTCACGTACTCATTGTGCCTAAGTGATTCAAGTACAACTCTGCCTAGTTCATCTTTGAGCTTTTAGTCTGACACACATTGATAGAGATGGGACAGGGTACAGGGACTGGCTGGGAGAGGTTGCCACCAATTTGGACAGAGCAACAGTGTTCATGCCCTGGGACCTCTGCCAGGGGAGTCAGGAGGACAGTCACAGGCCAGGGTACAGATTACAGGGAACACTTTGTGGTTAGCTGTATTGCATGCTGGGGATTGCTTAGAACTAAAAAGAATAAAATAAGACAGGAAGAGCTTCTGAGAGACTTTAGCACTGGGTTTGTAAGACCAGTTGTGGGGGAGGGATCCTTATGGTTTCCACTGTCTGTAAAACACAGACCTGGTAGCTTTCCAGTGAAGTGATTCATGTGTGCTAGGATCCCTACTGTGTTGTGAACACACAAAGACCTCCACAGTAGCGTGGCTAGACGGCACACAGGAAAGTCCCCTTCAGACCCAAGCAAGCAGCTGTAGGCAGGGGAGGATGAGTGGGGGATACCTGGGCCACTCTGAGAATCTCCCAGATCAAGTCCTCCTTGCCGTCCACACTTCGAGCCATGACAGCGTGAGAAGGGACCCGGGCCAGGTAGCACTGCTCATAGGCATCCACTGGTTTGCGGGTGTTGTCCGGGCAGAGCAGCTCAAACTGGTCCCTGTCAGCCTTCTGTGACAGGACCTCTGGGGAAGGAAAGCCTAGGTGAGCCAGGGGCAGGCTGAGCCAGGAGCTATGCTGTCCCCTCTCCACTACCACAGAGTGAGAAGCTTGAAGGGAGCAGAGAGTGAATCCTTTCCAAACACAGTTTATACAGATGAGGAAGCAGAAGACTCATCAGGAAAATGACTGGCTCTCAATCACACTACAGGTGGACACAGGGCTGGGCAGCATGCCTTACCCAGGCAACCTCCCATTGCCCATTCCTCTGTAACTATGCAAGTAGGCCTGGTGACAACAAACACATACTGAACATTAATGGCCCACAAGATTGTGCTCAAGGCTCAAGGCTGCCCGTCTTTCTCTTCACTTAATCCCCCCAAACCAGAAGAAGCTGGTGATAGAATGATCCCATTGTAGAAATGAAGAAACAGAACTGGAGACTTTGGGTAAGTTGTCAAAGTCTCAGTGACTCTGATTCATGTACTGCCATGCAAGGGTGATCCACGTCCCCCACAAAAGCAGCCACGTTCCCCTGGAGACAAAGCCTGCCAGATAAAGGTGATAAGAGGGCTAAGGGTGAGGAGGAGGCCTAGAATCCCAGTCAAGACACTGCAAAGAACAGGCTCTTGGTTCCCACTGTGTGGGTATTCGGTAGTATGGGCTTGGCACGCCCTAATCGCTATCACCTCAGAGTGTGACCTTATTTAAAAATAGGGTCCTCTCAGATATAAATTGCTAAGATGTGGCCCTAAAGGAATAGAGTGGGCTCCTAATTCAACATGACTGGTGTCCTTAGAGAGGGGAAATTGCAAAATACACAGAGGGAGACTGCAATGAGAATGGGAAACCGACGGTGAAGTTATATGCTTGCAAGCTAAGACTACCAGAGGTTGCCAGTAAACCAGTAGAGAGGCATGAGAGATTCCCATCATGCCCTCGGAAGGAGTGAACCCCGCTTCCAGAAAGATGAAGTGACAAGTGTCTGCTGCTTACACTAACCAGCTTATGGTACTTTGTGCTGGGAGTTCTGAAAGATTAATGCAGGCCATTTTGGGGACTGATAAACTCTCATATTGAGAAAGTGCAAGCCTATAACCTTAACGACTCCCAAGGCTGAGGCAGGAGGATTGCAAGTTCAAGGCCGGCTCGGACTACAAAGTGAGTTCAAGGTTAGCCTGATCAATACAACCTTGCCTAAAATTGAAAGAAATTAAAAGAAGGCTGGGAGTACACAGCACAGTGATACTCTGCTTGTCTGGTATGTGTAAAGTCCCAGGTCTTGTCAGTATTGAAAAAAATGGGGGGAGGAGAGAGATCAGGGAGTGTCATTTGATCCTGGGGACAGTTATGATTTAAATCAGTATGTCACAGAAAATACATTTTAAATCTTTATGTTCAAAGAAAACTTTTAACTGTATACAGTAGTGCATACCTGTCATCCAAGCACTTAGAAGGGTGAGACAGGAGGAGCATGTCCAGGGCCAGCTTGAGCTGCATAGTAAAAAACTGTCTCAAAAAAAAAAAATCAAAAGAAAAGGAGAAATGAATAAATTTTTAGTGACTTAGTAATGTGAAAATTCAAATTTTTAAAAATCCATATGCTGCCAGGTATGGTGGTAATGTGCCTTTAATCCCAGTCCTTGGGAGGCAGAGGCAGGATGATCTCCATAAGATCAAGGCCAGCCTAGTCCACATAGTGACTTCCAGGTAGGCTGGGACTAGGGAGACCCTGTTTTTTTTTTTTTTTTTTTAAAAAAAAAAACTCCATATGCTCTAACAAGAGTCAAAAAGAAAACATTTTTTCCACCTCACTAGAGGGCTCAATAGTGGCAGTAGCAGATCTTGGCTTGTCACCAGTATTCACTTGCATCCCACATGGAGTCCTTCATATAACTCCATCCCACATGGAGTCCTTGCATCCCACATGGAGTCCTTCATATAACTCTCTTTGAAAAGCAAGAAGAAACTTTGCATTACAGTAGTCTTCTAGTTTGTTTCTCCATTGCTGTGACAAAACCACTCTGACCAATACCAACTTGGGGAGGAAAGGGTTTATTCAGCTTATATATCCCAGGTCACAGTTCATTCGGGATCCCAAGGTAGGAACTCAGGGCAGGAACCAGGAAGCAGGAGCTGGAGCACAGGCCATGGAGGAACACTGCTTACTGGCTTTGCTCCCTTGGCCCCTGCTCAGCCTGCTTTCTTATGCAGCACAGGCCCACCTGCCCAGGGGTGGCACCACCCACAGTGGGCTGGGCCCTTCCACATCACTTAAGAAGATGCCCCTCAGACATGGCCACAGGCCGGTCCAATGGAGGCAATTCTCCAGTTGAGGCTCCCTCAGCCCAGGTGTGTCAAGTTGACACCAAACCTATTCCAGCACAAGTAGGAAAATGACCTTCAGAAGAGGTAAGCCAGGTTGGTCTGGACAGCCTGCTCTTTCCCTAAGGGAAATGATTTTAAATCCTACACGGAAATTTTAAATGGTAAGTGCCAGAAGATGTCACCCACTGGCACAACCATAGTAACATGAGTATTCAAAGGCCATGATAATTATTTGGAACAGCTTGGTTCTGGGAGATAAGGCCCAGAAGTGATCTCATTCATTAAAATTGTTGATAATAGAGCATGCCTCCGTTGTCAAAATGCTAGCACACCAGGCCAATGTACAGTAAAGAGGATACTATGATCTGTGAATGACTGAGCAGAAAACAGGGGACGCTGAAGTCATGTGAGGGAAGGAGTCCAGGCTGCAATTAAGGCCAGTGTAAACTGTGAGGATTTCAGGTGATATTTGTTATAAAACTGAGCCTAGCACAATGAGTATATATTTAAACTTCAAGCATGTTGAGTGGCACAGTGTGCTTTTATGTCCTATTTAATTCACTATAAAACTAAAATTCTGGCCAGGCCTAATGGCTTCAACCTATAATCCCAGCTACTTGGGAGGCTGAGGCAGGAGGATGGCATGGGGATTTGAATAAGTGTTCCCCATAAGCTCCAAGTATTTTAACATTTTGTCCAGTTGGTGGTGCTATTTTGGGAGGTTTTAGGAGGTGGGGTCTTGCTGGAGGAAGTATGTCACTGGGGGTGGGCTTTGAGAGTATATAGCCATGCCCACTTCCGGTTTTTCTCTATTTCTTGTGCCTGTTCAAAGATATGAGTGCTTAGCTTTCTGCTCTGGTTACTTCTGTCACCATGTCTCCCCCCCATGATGGACTCTTGTCCCTCTGGAACCATAAGCCAAATAAACCCTTCCTTCTGTAAGTTACCTTGGTCATGGTGTTTTATCACAGCAACAGAAAAGTAACAAATACATATGGCAAGTTCAAGACCTGCCCAGGCTACAGAATGAGTTGAAGACCAGCCTGGGAAATTTAGTGAGACTTTGTCTCAAACAATCAAAAATAAAAAATGAAAAGTTTTAAAAAGAACTGAGGATACAACTCAGTGATAGAGTGCTCAGCTTACATAAGTCTCTGGGTTCAAACCCCAGAACTTGCCCAACCACCCCCACCCCCCCAAAAAAAATCCTAAGAATCTATAATCTTAATGTGTCTAAAAATGCTATTTTGTTTGTGGTAAATTGTCCAAAATGCTAGAAGGGTTCATTGTACTGTTGTTTTCAAATATAAAAACAGGGCTGGGGGTGGGAGGGCCAGGTACAGGTGCTCAGCAGAAGATGAATGTGAGTCAAGAAGAATAAATGGGGGCCTAAACAAAGTAGAAATGGCAGCAACCCTCACTCTCACTGCTTCTGTGGCATTGTCTCAATATCACTCATCTCTAGAAGAAATTTTGGCAGCAAGAGCCAATGCCTCCGGCCAGGCTAGGGCCCACTTCAGTCTGTGTCCAGCACTTACCAAACACTGTCAAATGCCTCACGAAGCTCACATCCCCCACACCGTCCTGCAGACACCTGTGGACAGGACAGGAAAGGTCAAGCACTCAGCATGTCACATACCTCACCTGTCTCTTGTACAACCCCTCTTAGGACCTTCAGGACTGAGGGAGGCTTTGTTCGCAATTTCCCAGGCACCTGCCTGTCTCAAGAGAAGCAACGGCCTTATCTGAGGGGCCTTTGAACCTTACAGCCAAGCTAAGACCTAAAGCAGGCAGAAGGGCTGGAAACCAACATGTCAGGCAACACGGGAGGAGGATGGGGAAAAAGGACCTCCACCTTCTTCTTAGAAAGCAGCTCAAAGCAACTGGTTTTATTTCAGTTTTGATTTTTAACAAAAGTCTTAAGACCTTCTGCACAAGGATAAAAACATCAGACAGTCCTGGACCCTCGCCAGTTCTGCTCTAGCTTGTGGAAGTAACCATTTTTCTTACAGAGCATGGAGAGCCACAGCCAGGCACTGTTGGGAGCCAAAAGGCCAGAAGAGAAACATCTTTATGGCTTTGAGAAAAAGACAGCTTTATGGTTTCCTGCAAATTTTTATGGCCTTGAGAAAAAACAGCTTAATGGTTTTCTGTAAGTTTCTATAAGATAGCACTTAGTTAAAAGAATGTAGAAAAACAACTTTGTGACCCAGGCTAAGTCAGCCTTGAGAAATGTTTTATGCTCACCATAACAGTTAGCAGATGTTCCTTTAGGATAAGAAATGCCCCTTGAATAACCCTCCCTAGCTATAGCATCCAACAACACCAATTAGTGTCTGCCCAGCACTTTCCTTCTCCTCACCTCCCCGCCCCCTCTTTCCACTACCAGTATATATATCTGCTGCTTTCAAATAAAATTTTGGAGCTTGATCAGAACACTGTCTTGCTCTCTTTCTTCGTGTTCCTTGTTTGTCATTCCTTCTAGGACCCCCACTCGTCGTGCCACTGTAAAAGTGTCCTGCGGGTCGGGACACATTCCCTTTTTGATTTTCTAATTTAAAGCAGTATAGGGTTTTGTTACTGTTGTTTTTGTTTGTTTGGTTTTTTTCTTCTTGAGACAGGGTCTCCTTGTAGCCACAGCTGTCCTGGAACTCACTATGTAGACCAGGCTTACATTTTCTTCTGTGGTTAGTGCATGGAATTTGGTCAGAAGGCATTTTGTTACCCACAAACAGCCTTGCCACTATTGCACCTGTGGGTATAGTTTGCCTGGAAGGTTGGTACTGTAGCTCATAGGGTCCAAAACTGGGTAAGATTTTTGGTGACTATTCTCACACAGCAACCTGCATAGAAGCCTTTGCCACTGTGAATATTATCCATCAAGGATCAAAGATATGTTTAAGAATCTGAACGCTCTGCAGATTTCTCAGCATATTCTCTTTTGGCATGTAAAAATAACTGGTTTTGTATGTGCATTTTATACTTTATAAAGATGGTTTTCATCTGGGCACAGAGGCAGAGGCAGGCAGATCACTGTGAGAACAAGGCCAACCTGGTCTACGTAGTGAGTTTCAGGCCTACTGGGGCTAAAGGAGACCCCATCTTTAAAAAGGTGGTTATCAGATCTCTGTTTTCTTATGGAGCTTATGGAGTGTTTCTGTTCTTTGTATTGTAGAATTCTACTGTGTGCAAATTGCTGTAACCTGCTGTGTTATTTTCTATAGTGACTCTTTTAAATCTTTCTCTTCCATTCATGTTGTCAGTACCAATAGATTCACGGCACCTCCCCCCAAAGGGGCCGCCACCTCCTCTCTGGCAAAAATACGCCAGGGCCGGGATGAGTCATACGCTGACTTTATCAGTCGCCTTACAAGTGCGGCTGAAAGGATAGCTGGGGAATCAGAAGAAAGTGCTTTTGTAAAACATCTGGCCTTTGAAAATGCTAATTCAGCATGCCAAGAAGCCATCAGGCCCCACAAGCAGGGCCTCCTTTCTGACTACATTAAACTATGTTCAGGAATTGGGACAGCCCATACAATGGGCCTCGCGATAGGAGCTGCCTTTCAAAATTTTACTAGGGACAAAACTTGCTTCAATTGCAAACAACCTGGGCACTTCTCTAAAGAATGCCCTACGGGACTGCGACCAGCCAGGGATCGTCCTAAAACTATATGCCCCAAATGCAAGAAAGGATTTCATTGGGCTAATGAGTGTCGCTCCAGGACAGATGTGGAAGGGAAACCCCTTAGTCACCAGCAGGGAAACTTCCAGCGGGGCCAGCCCCAGGCCCCGACATCTTTACTGGGCAGGACGAACCCTGGGGCTATCAGGTTCGCCCCCCAAAGTCAGACCAAGGGATCGACATCTTCCTTAAAGCAATCCCAGGAAGCACGCGATTGGACCTCTGTGCCTCCTCCTCTACAATACTAACACCAGACTTAGGCCACCAGCCTATTCCAACTAATGTCCGTGGGCCATTCCCTTCTGGACTTTCAGGGATCATTATTGGCAGGGACCATATGCTTTCTAAAGGCCTCCAAATAGCACCAGGAATGATAGACAATGATTTTACAGGGCCAATTACCCCCCTGGCCATCGCTACAACTGGGCCAATAAAAATTAATAAAGGAGACCCTATAGCTGTGCTTGCACTGCTCCCTATGAATAAATGCAGTTGCATGGATAACATGTTTCCACATATATATTGGACACAACAAATTGATGCTAAGAGACCTATGCTTTCCTTATATCTAGAAGGCAAGCTCTTCCATGGCCTTATTGACACTGGGGCAGATGCTACAGTCATCTCAGAAAAACATTGGCCTCGAGAGTGGCCTTGCACAATTTCTATAACTCATCTAAAAGGAATTGGTCAAAAAGACAATCCTAAACAAAGTTCCAAAATCCTAACCTGGAGAGATGATGAGGGAAATACAGGCCAAGTACAACCCTATATAATTTCAGGACTACCCCTCAATCTATGGGGACGTGACATTCTGTCACAAATGAAAATCTTGATGTGCAGCCCTAATGAAATAGTAACCCACCAGATGTTAAAACAAGGATTCTTGCCAGGCCAAGGATTAGGCAGGAATTCACAGGGAAAACAAGACCCCATAGTGACCCATTCCCCTAAAGCCCGTCAAGGAATTGGATATCCAAATTTATAACTATGGTCATTGACCTTCCTGTGCCCCATGCAGACAAGATAAAGTGGAAAACTAATGATCCTGTATGGGTGGATCAATGGCCCTTAACGAGAGAAAAATTAACCGCTGCCACAGAGTTAGTACAGGAACAACTGGCGGCAGGACACATAGAAACAACAACCTCCCCGTGGAATACACCCATTTTTGTAATCAAAAAGAAAACAGGGAGCTGGCGACTGCTTCAGGACCTTAGAGCCATCAATCAAACTATGTATACAATGGGGGCACTTCAGCCAGGCTTGCCGTCCCCCATTGCCATTCCTTCCAATTATTTTAAGATTGTTATTGATCTCAAGGATTGTTTTTTTACCATCCCCCTTCACCCTGAAGACAGAGAACGATTTGCATTTAGTTTACCCATGGTCAATTTTCAGGGACCCATGCCACGATATCAATGGAAAGTCCTTCCTCAAGGAATGGCCAATAGTCCAACGCTATGCCAAAAATT